CTCCTGGATTAACAATGCTGTAAATTGTAAAAATTTGAAATAAGCAGATCTGAGGTATTGTCATTCCTGAGCCACTCTGTCATTTCCAGACTCCTAGAAGAAGAAGCAACCAAGCGAGCCACGCTGGAGAAGCTCCACCAGGAGCAGGAGCTCACCATCAAGATGACGGAGGCTGAGAAGAAGGAACTGGAGACTATCTGGGAGATGAAAGACAAAGCTCTACAGGAGGCCATGCAGCAGCTGGATCAGCTGGAGAAGGAGCGGATGGAGGCCCTGGAGCAATACGAGGTGACCAATGCCCACCAGGAGCAACCCATCGCTGATATAGGGCTGATGATCTGGGGCGGTCCAAGTTCCAATCAAGATCTCACACTGAGTCACAGCACAACCCCTGCCTGGTTTTACTGCCCTCTGTTCCCCTTTGGGACATTTCCCTTCACATCCTGTCCCAGTGGCCACAAAGCAAATGAGAGGGAATTGCCCATACATGGTCAAGGGCAGCAATGGGATCTAATAGAAGTTTCCACCTTAATTGTTGGCACTCTATGAATGCCAATAATAAATATATTTTCCATTCTGCAGTATGTGGGCCCTGCAGGTCAGCCGCTGACCAACCCGAAAAAAAAAAAACTTTGCACAAAACTCCGAACAAATCAGCAAAGAAATCATTTATGTTCAATTTGATTTCATTTTATCTACAAATACAGACGTAAAGTACTATGGGGGGATCCGTATCAGGAATCCAAATCATTTCTATATGACCGTAGCTGACCATGTGACCAAGACCAAGAGTTCTTTTTTTAAATTTGGAAACATACAATGTTACTTTATAACAAAGATTTATTCTTTTACAGCATATTAAAACCAATCTAGAGGCCGCAACCAGCAAGACGAAGAGCTGGAAGGATAAAGTGGCGCAACACGAAGGTCTAATCCGACTTATACAGCCAGGTACAGAAGGACTGCTGCGATATTTCATTTATCATTTCTTGTAGAACCACATCAGTCTCTGTACAGAGGAGCTTACACTCTAATGTCCTACCGCACAGTCACATCAGTCTCTGTACAGAGGAGCTTACACTCTAATGTCCTACCGCACAGTCACATCAGTCTCTGTACAGAGGAGCTTACACTCTAATGTCCTACCGCACAGTCACATCAGTCTCTGTACAGAGGAGCTTACACTCTAATGTCCTACCGCACAGTCACATCAGTCTCTGTACAGAGGAGCTTACACTCTAATGTCCTACCGCACAGTCACATCAGTCTCTGTACAGAGGAGCTTACACTCTAATGTCCTACCGCACAGTCACATCAGTCTCTGTACAGAGGAGCTTACACTCTAATGTCCTACCGCACAGTCACATCAGTCTCTGTACAGAGGAGCTTACACTCTAATGTCCTACCGCACAGTCACATCAGTCTCTGTACAGAGGAGCTTACACTCTAATGTCCTACCGCACAGTCACATCAGTCTCTGTACAGAGGAGCTTACACTCTAATGTCCTACCGCACAGTCACATCAGTCTCTGTACAGAGGAGCTTACACTCTAATGTCCTACCGCACAGTCACATCAGTCTCTGTACAGAGGAGCTTACACTCTAATGTCCTACCGCACAGTCACATCAGTCTCTGTACAGAGGAGCTTACACTCTAATGTCCTACCGCACAGTCACATCAGTCTCTGTACAGAGGAGCTTACACTCTAATGTCCTACCGCACAGTCACATCAGTCTCTGTACAGAGGAGCTTACACTCTAATGTCCTACCGCACAGTCACATCAGTCTCTGTACAGAGGAGCTTACACTCTAATGTCCTACCGCACAGTCACATCAGTCTCTGTACAAAGGAGCTTACACTCTAATGCCCCACAACAGTCACGCACTATTATTATACATATAGCTCTGACATATACCGCACTGCTGTACAAGAACGCTGAGTTATTCAATTGTCAGGGGTTGTATTTTTTGGTGCCCACCAAACACTGACATATCAGTTGTGAGAGGACTGACCCCTTATCGCCTCACCTGGGAGTAATTGGACCGCTGTTCATTAAAATACTTTTTAGGAATGCGTATATTTGGTGAAATTCTTTAAATCCTCTCCGTCCCCCTTTTCAGGTTCTAAAAATCCCGGACTTATCACAAACTGGGGACCAGCTTCCTTCACCCAAGGGGAACTGGTGGAGAGGGAGAGGAACTGGCAAGAGAAAAAGAACAGCAGCGCGGACTAGAGCCTCCATCCCAGCGTGGCCCAGCAGATAGGACCGCGGCCCGAAAACCAGCCGCTGACAGCGGGAGAGTTTGTGCATGCGTTATTTGAAAAATTGTTTTTAATCCCCAAGCCGTATTCACTTCAAAAAGGGAGATGACAAAATACCAGCGAGATACCGTAATCACAAGGAACCGCCAGACTTTTCCAAAACAAGAAAGAACGTTCAACAAAACTGGAAGAACATGTCGGATAAAACACCTGACAGCCCAAAGGATTGTCCCACAGACCACAGAGACGTTCCTACAGACCACAGAGACGTTTCTACAGACCACAGAGACGTTCCTACAGACCACAGAGACGTTCCTACAGACCACAGAGACGTTCCTACAGACCACAGAGACGTTCCTACAGACCACAGAGACGTTCCTACAGACTGTACAGATCGCAAAGATTGTCCTTCAGACCATGAAGATCTTCTTGCAGACTGCGAACATCGGCCTACAGACAAGGAAGATATTCCTATGAACCATGAAAATCGTCCTAAATACTGTTAACAACGTCCTACAGACCACAATGATCATCCTTCAGACCATGAGGATCTTTCTACACACCGTAAGGAACGTCCTACAGACCAGGAAGATCTTCATATGAACTGTGGAGATCATCCTACATACTGTTAAGATCGTCCTACAGACCACAGTGATCATCATACAGACCACAAAGATCATTCTACAGACTATGAAGATTGTCCTACATACTGTTAAAAACGTCCTATAGACCACAATGATGATCAAACAGACCAGGAAGATTGTCCTTCAGACCATGAAGATCATCTTACAAGCCCTGAAGATCTTCTTGCAGACTGCGAACATCGGCCTACAGACCAGGAAGATATTCCTATGAACCATGAAGGTCATCCTACATACTGTTAAGAACGTCCTACAGACCACAATGATCATCGTACACACCACGAAGAAGATCCTACAGACCAGGAAGATCTTCCTGTGAACTGTGGAGATCATCCTACATACTGTTAAGATCATCCTACAGACCACAAAGCTCATCCTACAGACCAGGAAGATCATCCTGCAGACCATGAAGATCATTATCCAAACCGTGAGGAACGTCCTGCAGACCAGGAAGATCTTCCTACAGGCCTGAGTCTTGTCCAGGATGGGACAGCTGCGTGTCTGCCATTGTCCGTACTAAACCCTTTTAACAACACCCTAGAATAGGCGCGGGAACTTTTTTTTTTTTTTGCCGTTTCGTTTCCGGGGCGCTTGTACTTTCCATGTGTTTTTTTTTTTTTAATTTTAAATTGAAATGTAATATATTTGTCTGTGAAACGCGTTTCATGTGACAATAGGAATAGATGTTGTTGGATCCATTCAGAGAATCGGGTTTGTCTCAACAACCGTTACATTAAAAAATTATTTGCAGAAAATAAAAATTTGTAGATCTTTTTTTTTCCCCCTTTCCTTCGCACCTTCCATATTCCAGGGCAGAAAAGTTCAAAAGTAACACAAAGCAAAATTCCAGCCAAAAATAAAAACATAAACAGATAAATAATAGGTTATTAAAAGGTAAAATAACACACAGGGCTTGGGAACAAAGTGCCTGGTAGCTAAGTGGCGTTAAAAAATTGGCGTTGGACTGTTTGGGATATATTGAGTGCTTGATTTTTTGAATACTTGTTACTTTTGCTGCAATCAGGCCCGGCGCTACCATATAGGCAGGTCAAGCAACTGCTTGACGGCGCCAGCAGGGGGCGGCGGTTGGGGGCGGAAAAATGCAACTGGCCGCGGCGGCTCTGATCACACCTGTCAACGCTCCCTCTCTCTCCTGCCGGCCGCTGCAGCTTCAGAATGGCCAGGAGGAGAGAGAGGGAGCGGCAGGTATGTTCCGTCCCCCTTCCTT